TACTGTTAAGAATAAATCTTTTGGTAAACAAGCAACTACCACTGCTACTTTATTTTTATTAGGCACAACTTCAACTTTAAATGGTTATGACTTTACTTTTACTTTAAATGATTTTTACTTTTTTTTATCTCTTTTTTCTCACGATTTTTTCTCTACTGCTAATAATTCATTTTTTGTCTCTTATCTTATAGACAGTAAATGTAAAATATTTTTTATCTTGACACTTCGAAGGTAAGATTATGGAAGCATTAAAAACATGTTACATCGCTCTATGCATAAGATGTAGGTATAACAACAAATGTTGAAAAATTTTATTGTTAAAAGACAGATTGCTTCCACCCCTCCTCCTTATAGCCACCTCTCTTCCCGCAGTATAAAAAAGTTGTCTGTGGGCATGATACTTTAACTCTAATTTATTGGTGTCTAAATTCAACATCTTATTCATGTTATTCATGTTTTTGGGAGACAAACCACACACTGGGCAACACTTAATTTAATTTTTTATCGTTAATAAATGTGAAATTTTTTATCTACCCCCTCTGAAAAAAAAAATGCTTGTTCCACACGGATTCCATGTGGCTTCTGTGTGTGAGATTTATGGAAACACACATGGAATTCACGTTTTTTTCACTGGATCATAGTCATCTCAAAAAAAAATTTCATATTTATTCATAATATCATTATTTTCTATTTCAGTACTGTTTCTTTTTTTCTTTTTCAACAACATTCTCGACTTCTTTTTAAAAAGAAAATCTTTGTAGTCGGCAATAATCAGACGGCGGCTTTTCGTTTCTTCACAGTGCTATGTTTTTATTTTATAAATTGATTACAAATTGATTGTAAACTTTCAAGAATGTGTTTTAAGAAAATTTTTCAACGGTATGTGTATAGAGTAGTTATCTACATAAATGTTTTTCGGATAACATTTAAGTTTTAAATTTTATATCATTGTATAAAGGATATATGTGGCAACTTTATATATATATATATATATATATATATATATATATATATATATATATATATATATATATATATATATATATATATATATATATATATATATATATATATATATATATATATATATATATATATATATATATATATATATATATATATATATATATATATATATATATATATATATATATATATATATATAACATCATTGAACTTTCTTTTTTCGTTCTGTTACAAGCTTTTTCAAAAGATCAACATGGTCTTCCAGCTTCATTAATTGATGATCTATCATTTAATGTAATGTAGATATATTGAAAATCTTTTACTAGTCAAGCTTAATTTCTTCTCTCAAAATAAATATTATCAATTTTTGCATGCTAAAGAAAATTTTATTTTTGGCTAAAGTTAAACATTGTTTAACTTTAGCCAAAAATGTAATATTAGTTGAAGCTGGTAAAAAAAATTAGTTCATATAACATGCCTTAGAATTAAGGTCGTCATTTGGTAATGCCTTTTCAACTGCCGACCTCACTGTGATTCAATATTTATTAAAACTTGGGATTTTATTATGTGTTAGCTGCAAATATTCGATGTTTCGACCTGACCTCATTATCTTTAACTGAAATTAAATTGTAATTAAGCCGCCATGATAATTCACAAACAAATATTCCGCATTTTTTGTGACGTATACTTATTGTGATTTTGTATTGATACAATAATTATATCAACTATTATTGTTTATATTATATTGATATCATTTAAACCATTGTATTTAACTAACTTTTTTTACTTCCTTATATAAACCTTTGTATTCAAGCATTTAATTTTCGTATTCGTTTTAAGGAAAAATTAAATTACTCTAAAACAATTTTACTTAAGTTATAGTTTTAGTTGTAAATTTTTAGTGATGGGCTCTTTCATATATATAAATCATGACAAAATGGTGGTGGCGTCATCATTTAAGGTGCATTTTCCAAGGCTGGATTATCTAAATTGAAGTTCTTTGAAAGAAAACAAACAGCTGAAGACTATATTATTACACTCTCCGATTACTTAATGCTATATGGGCATGCGTTATCTTGCATAAACACAAAACATACATTTGTCTTTTTGTAAGAAAACGCATCAATACACACAGCAAAGATTGTGATGGAGTTTGTAACAGAATATGACATCAAGTTGTTTGATCATCTAGCGCTGTCACCCGACTTGAATCTAATTGAAAACATTTGAGGTTACTTGTCTCGTTACGTGTAAAAAAATGGAACAACAATACAGTAATATTTTAGAACTAAAAATGACCATCCTAACGGAGTGGAACAAAATCCCCAAACCTTTGCGTGAAACACTCATTCCCTCCATGCCTAAGCGTTGCATTCAGGTTTTTATGAAGAAAGGTAAGAAGATTGACAATTAGGTACGTTTCTACATCTTACCCAGTTAGCGCACTTACATTGAGCCAACGTATGTAAAACCATTGCGAACGTCGGCTTCTTTTTCCAATGCAAAACCAACGTTGATCCAATGTCATTTGGTTAATGATAAAATTATTACCGAGGAACTAAAAACATCTGGCAAATTTATATTGGTCCAACCCAGCTAGCACACTTACATTGGGCCAACGTATGTAAAACCATCGTGAACATCGGCTCTTTTTTCCAAGTCAAAATCAACGTTGATCCAATGTGATTTGGTTAATGATAAAATTATTACCGACGGAACTTAAAAACATCTGGCAAATTTACATTGGTGTAATGTACAATGTATGTAAAAGCATCGCAAAAAGTTGATTGTTTTTACGATCTAAACTCAATATTGATCCAATGTATATATTTCGACGTTGGTTCAATGTATATAAGTCAACATTTTTTCAATGTATGTAATAACATCACAAAAAGTTGATTGTTTTTACGATCTAAACCCAACGTTGATTTAATGTATTTATTTCGACGTTGATTCAATGTGTATAAATCAACGTTGATCCAACGTATGTAAATAAATCGCAAAAAGTTGATTGTTTTAACGAACTAATTTGTTTACATATATATTTTTGTTTGTTTACATATATATATATATATATATATATATATATATATATATATATATATATATATATATATATATATATATATATATATATATATATATATATATATATATATATATATATATATATATGGTTATCCAGAATAGGGTATGAAATATGAATTATTTGATTATAAAAATTTCTGAAACAAAAAAAAAAAACAATGCTCCTAAAATTAGCTACTATGTTCAGTTAAATATTAACTTTCATGATTAAAGTTTGTTGCGTAACGGTTGTTATCTTGTCCAGCTCAATAACCTCCTATAAATATATATTTTTTGTTGTTGTTACGATAACAAACATTTTTAAATAATGCATTCTGTGTTCCTCAATTTGGGCACTAAACGCAGTTGAAATGCAATTTGCATTTTTAATGTTCAGATTTGTTCCAACGGTTTAACATTAAACAGTTAAGTCCTAAGCATAGCAACTTATTAAATAAACGTAATAAAGAGCATCGTTACCGCGACTGAAAGAAATTTCGAGTTTTTTTAGTAAAACCTGTTTTTTTGGGGAGGGCATAAGGTTTATATAGTCATACCTGTAGAACGTTAAAAGCTTACACAATTAAATTAAAAACCTATTATTAATAGGTTATTATTAATAGTATTAATGACTATAAATTTTGAATATGTTAAAAAAAAAATCTTGTTAACTCACATTTGGGATATTTTTTTTTTGTTAAGTTCATTAAAAAAAGTCGAAATGTGAGCTACGAATACAGAATGTGCGGAAAATATTGCAACTAACACTTTTTTTTTTGTTTGTTATTTAGGTGCCCCAAGAAGACCTACCGGTATTGTCACAGAGTACCACGGAAGTGCAATTAACTAGGAAGATCCCGCCTCCTTCCTTACCGTGACACAAAAATATGTCCAGAGCTTGTTTCGAGCCTTGATCTCCTGCTTCTAAGGCAAGCGCTTTAACCATTACGCTACTTTAAAAAGATTCGTGTTAAAAAAAAGGCCACAAAAAAACGACCTTTGTTCAACAAAATTCGTGTTTTGAGAGTTAGTTGCTAAAAAAACAAAGTTTTCTATAAAAAACTTTATTAGTAAAAAGAAACATTTTAGTAGTCCTAAAAACGTGCTATGTGCATGAACTGTAAGTTGTGCCACAACAAGTAGCTTACGCATATAGCAGCATACAGATTGATTGTTTTTGCTCCTACTCTACCAAGTCCACGCCAACCTCCCCTGCACTATTTCCAAGTAAATTTAGAAGCAAATAACTTGTTTTCGATAGTATTTAAAAATCTTTGCTGTACCAGTTCACTCGTAATAAATTTGTTGTCTGTTAAAGATTCAGTATCCGTTTAGTCTTCAAAAAGAGTCAACGGAGACTCATGTAAACAATTTTTGTTAACGTGAATCTCTGTTGAGACTCACATTAACAATTTAACGTGATATGAAATAAATGTCATGTGAAAAAAATTAAACGAGTGTATGTTCAAAAATTATTTTTTTAAATGAATTTTTAATAACATGTTAAAAAATTTATATACTCTTTAACTAATTTAATTTGACCACCAACTTATGTTTCATTTTTCATAATTACCTGTTATTATATACCTGCTCTGTTATTACATTGATTAGATTTCATCTAATTTTTATATCGTAACACAATTTAAATTAAAATCCAACGAAAGATAAAAATACAAAAAGGACTTCTCTGTCATAGAATGTTATTGTATAAAAAAATTTTCAAAATCAAAAGGTTGTTAAGGATTTGAGTGGTGATCATCTCTGATTAAATTAACTGTTTCATAGATTTAATTACTTTGACAACCAAATCTATATATAAATAAAAAATAAATACTGTTTACAAGCAAAGACTTCAAAGTGCTAGAACTTAGAATATGATGATCATAATTAAAACTATTTTAACTAATTGTTTGCTTGTTAAGAAAATTTGTTAAAAATAAATATTTATGACAAAAAAACTCGGAAGCTACATTTCTAAAAAATAGTTCAAAATTAAATAACAAAAGAATTCTACACTAAACAGTTGTTAAAATCCAAGTATTTACAATTTATAATATATTTCTAATCTCGCCCAACCATACGAAAGACTATAAGGATATTGTTTGTTTGGTTAATGAGGGAGTTAGCGCTTAAAAACACGCTGTCTTGTCTAAAAATAAAAAAAGTCAAATAAAAAGTGATATTTCAAAAACTTATTAAGTTATTAAATATTTTTATATTATTCTCTTTGTTATTAATGTAATTAAGGAATATTTAATATATTTAAGACAAAAACTTTTATTAAGATTGAAAATTTTGTATAGCTGAACAAAAAATGCTGAACAAGCACTTTAACTATTTAGTTGATGTAATACTTAGTTTATATTTATCTCTACATATAAATATCGAAATGTTAAAGAATGTGCAACAACAAGTGATGCAAACTTAGATTGTTGGTGAAAAGTTAATTTGGCATAACTATTTTAATTTTGTTGAGGTAATTTATTTTAGAACAACAAACATTAATATCACATTCTTAGTTACTTAGTAACTTAGTTACTTAGAGACTTAGTAATTTATTACTCATAAGTAATTAAGTTTTAATTATAAAGTGATAAACTTAACAGAAAAAAAAATTATATAGTTTACCTTTTTAATTATGTAATGCCCTAGTCATAGCATTATATAAAGTAATTTTGTGTTGGAATAGCATTGTAATTTTGAAAACACTGTGATACAACTTACAACTACATTGTGGGTGGAAAGAGCTTATAAAGCTAGGATGGGAATTTTCCTTTTGATTAGTGGTACCTTGATAAATATAATTAGTGCCGATTCGAAAAAAAAGTTAATTCAAGGAAAAGCATTTAGTTTTAAAAAATCTTAACACTTCCAAAATATCATATGAGAATATAAATTCATATAAGAAAATCGCATTATGGAAACTTATTTAAACCACACAAGTGTGGAACCATATATACACAAAGCCTTCTTAAAAAAAGTTCAAAAAAAAAAAAAAAAGACATTTGTTTCAAAAGTCATCGCATCGTTTTATTTTTTTGACTTAAATATTTTTCAGAAAGCAACAAAATGCAATTCTGAAATAAAAAGAACTTATGCAGAATAATAGTTTAAAAACTACATAATTGAAACGCTTTTTAAGTTTTTTACTTTCTAAATTAGTATTTTAGATTGTTTATATTCATAATTTATCTTGATTGTCGAAAGGCTTGCCATACTATAGCTTATTTTTACCTTACCGCGTCATGCATAAATTTTCTGATAAACTTTTTTTTAAATAAACATAATATAAATATAAAAAATAAATATTAATATAAAATATAAATAACCATATTATAATATAAGTATTAATATAAATAAATTGAAATTGTAAATCATTTCAAAAAAGAAAGAATAGTAGGAAATACAATCACTGACTCATTTTTTAATAAAAATCGTTCCGATATTCTGGACTGAAAAAAAAACCCGAAAAGTTCCTAAATACAACATTGAAAAATGAAAAAAAAAAACAAAAAAAAACAAACAAACAAAAAAAGGAGCAGTAAAACTTGTTAATTAGCTTTTCAACAATAAATCACTTCTGGTCATTGATATTGAGAAATACCTTTGTTTTGGATACTTGGAAAATTTACCTGGAAATTATGGATACTACACAGACATGTCTAGAAACTATGTCTGTGTAGTATCCATAATATGTCTACAAGAAACATGTCTAGAAAGTGTTGCCTTTGTGGGAAAAAAACTTTCAAAAAAATATTGATGTGAATTGCTTCTTCTATCCATGGTGTGTATGGGCCATTGTTTTGTACTTCCAAGGTTATAGCAATCAATACATCAACTTATGTTGATGAATGTTTAGAAAAACAACTTCCATTCATTCACAAGTATCATGGGAACTTTAACTACTTATTTTAGCCAGATATAGCAAGTTCTAACAACTATAAAGATAAAGTTAGATGGACGAACTTGTCAATTATGTTGATATAAATATAATCCTACCTATTGCTATGTTACCTATGTGCCCATTAAATGTGCCTCAAACACAATTAAAACAAAATTGTTAGGGGCATTTGGCTCAAAAGGTTTACAAGATAGGTTGGCCTCATTAGAGAAATTCTTGATTGATTGTATCTAATTAAAAGTAAAAGAAATTGATTTAAATTTTTTACAGTGGCTTATAAAATACGTCAAAATTTTCATATAAGAAATAACTGATTTTTATTCACGAATAATTATTACGAAAAAATTCTAGTTTTTTTTTTTTTTTTTTTGTTAATAATATTTTTTTTTGCTTAAGTTTCAATTAAAACTTTATCATTGTCTAATTCAGTACAAATACAAGTGTTTTATATCTTTATTTATTTAATATTATATATATATATATATATATATATATATTATATATATATATATATATATATATATATATATATATATATATATATATATGCATTTTCTACAACTTAAATTATTTGTTATATATGTATCTATAGCTATATTCTTATTAAATTATTTGTTATATATATATCTATAGCTATATACTCTCTCTCTCTCTCTTTTTATTGACTATTTTTCTCTCTTTATTAAACTGCCAATATTGTTGTTATTAATGACTTTTAGCCTCATTACACTGAATGGCTTGGCTCTAATGCCACTGACCTTGGTAGTACTAAGACCTATGACTTCTGCATTTCTCAATCTCTTACTCAGATAGATACAAATTAACATGTGACTCATTTTCCTGACAATCCTATATATTTACCTTCACTCCTTGATTTATGTTTGGTCCTAGCTTGTGTTCAGTATCTCCTTTTTCTCCCTTAGGTTTTCTGACCATGCAATTATCTCTTTAAATCTTTCATCTAGTACTTTCTTTTCAGAATTTCCCATTTATCCCATTACTTACTACTATCCTAAAGCTGACTGGGATTCTTTTCAAGATTTTCTTCATAACAGTCGTTGTGCTAATGTCTTTTATTCCTTCTTGTCAGTTTCAAGTCAAGCCTTATTCTACTCATGGTTTTCACCTTCTTGTACAGCTGCTATATCTAATTGTAATCATTTTTTACATCTTTTTCAAAAGAATAACTCTCTTGAGCGCAAACGTCTATTTATTATTGCAAGAAATCAATGTAAAAAATTGCTGTCTGATGCTAAACAGTTCACTAAATCTCATATTTTATCTCAGAAGTTAGATTCTAGAGACTTTTGGAAAATCTTCAACAGCGTCGTTAACAAAGGTAAGTCTAACATTCCATCACTCAATTATGGAACTGATTTTATTACCGCTCATAAGAATAAGGCTGAACTATTTGCAAAGAAAAATTTCTTCTAATTCAACTATTGAATCTTATGGCCAATGTTTTCCTTTCATTCCAACTAAACAGGTTAAACAATGTAAGACATTCGAATTACTCCAGCTTCCAATGCTAAACCCATATCTCAATTAAACTCTTCTACAGTGTGTGGTACAGACAACATTCATGTCTGGACCAGTGTTACAAAACTGCTCTTCAGTGTTACAAAACTGCTCTTCAGAACTCTCTTCAATTCTTTCTAAACTGTTTTATAAGTGTTGACTGAGTCTTGTTTTTCTGCCTGCTAAAAAATGGCATCTGGTGTTCCAATTTTCAAAAACTCCAGTGAACTTCTGACTCCTCCAACAAGTCCTGATCAGACTTTTTTTATTTTTAGATAAGACAGACAAGACAAGACAGACAACCAATATAGTTTTTGATTCTCATGCTCTAGGGCTGATTTTCTAACTGCTGTGAGTAAAAGATTTTATTGTGCATTAGATGGAGGCAGAGAAGCTAGGGCTATTGCTCTTGACAACACTCTTCTTTATTTCCAGTAACTTCTGAGGTACATCAAGGTTCTATAATTGCTCCTGTTTTGTTGCTTACATCTAAAGTAGCTCTTTTTGCTGATGACTCAACTTATACTCCTGTCATGAAAAAAAGTCTCCTATTTTTGATCACTTACATCAGGCAGCCAATTTTGAATCTGATCTCACTTCTGTAACGAATTGGGAAAAAAAATTTAACAACAACAAAACTCAGTTATTTACTGCAAACAACTATCTCAATACTGTTGACATTCCTATATTATTAAATGGCAACTAAAAAACAACAACAAAAAAAACAACAACAAACATAATTACTTTACGTCTTTGAAATATTGTTTCAGAGTGTCACTAAAACTTTTGGAGTATTTGACAAACTCTCTCTTGTTTTGTTCCAAAGTCTAAAAAATACGTACTAATAAAAACATAACTAATAATACATATTAATAAAAACTAATAAAAAAGAATAACCTTATAATGCCTGATAAACTCTGTCTATTTTAGTTTAAATTTTTTTCTGTCAAAAAACAATGTAAATGTTAGATTAAGTTCATGCTGGCACAAAGCCACATTTGAAAAACAATTTTAAAAAAAGACACCTTATTTAAGCTTATTAATAATACTGAAAAAAAAAAAATACTTATGAATAAAGTAAAAAGGAAAGAAAGTTTTTTGCTTTTAAAACTAAAACTAAAATATTTTAGATAAGATGTTAGTACTTTTATGATTGCAAACTTTTAGTTTTTTAAAGAAAATGTTTTTATTGAATAATATTATTTGTTTATAGTAATTAAAATTAATAATAATTTATTGAAAAATTTTTATTGAATGCATAGAAACAAAAGATTGTTGATAATTTAATAAAAAAGTTGAAACATTTTTGATGGTTCGGCATCTTTAAATAAATGAAATATATATAGTATGTAAGTACATTTTGAAATTCTGAATGTGAAAATAACGAACATCATAGGTCAACACTTTCTAAGATTTACAGTTTTTTATCGGGTTTGTCCCCTTGATATTAGAATTTTTTATTACAACACCAATATCTAAGTCAGACATGTAGTCATAACCACTCAAAACAGAAAACTTTGCAGCACATTGGAACAAGCCTTAATTCTCTTTTTTTTAGTCTATTTCTATAGTTAATATATAATGGCATAAACAATATTCAATTTAAACTTTTACCAACCCTCCTTTTACTATGTGATCATAAAGTATCAATACAAATAGTATTTTTTAACATCAATTAACATTGTTTGTAATGAACCATCATTCTTCATTACTTTAATGCATCATATCTTATCTCCATCATCATATTACCTCCCTTATTAATTTATTTCTAATACTTCAGACAATGCAATTGGTCCTCAATTTATGGTATTCCAGACTTATGGCTATAATTTCAAAATGTCACATATTTGTTTTTAACTATAATTCTTTTTCATCAAATTTCACACTTTATTCAATAGAAAATAATTTTTTTTTTTTGGTTTATTATTCAAAAACTTTGGCATAAAAAATTTCCTGAAAGGTCACGCACGAACAGTAAATGCCTGAGGGGAGAAATGAAGTTCATTAGAATACAGGAGAATTATTTATCGAACAAAGCATATTTTGACAGTTGTCAAGACAAAAATAAAGGATAATAGAGGAAAATTGTAAAACAAATAAGATAGACAAAGCACTTAAACAGTACTTACGATAATAATAATTTAAAAAAAAAAAACACAATGTTTTATAAACATGAAGATATACAACAAATATATCACCAAGCAAAAACTTAAAAAACAAAAAATAGATTAACAAAAACAAAAAGTATGCATACAACAATGTATGGCATCAGAATGGAAAAAAAACATTAATCCTAATGAGTAAACATAATTTGTGTACTGATAAAATAATAAACATCTCCTCAGAGTCGCATCTATTATTACTGGCATTTCTTCCCAAATTTGTGAAGCACCAATATTTTTTTGATGATATGATGTTAAAAGTATAGATCTACTAAACAAACAAAAATAAAAATAACTAAATAACAACATACAATACCATTGAAAGAAAACATGAAAACACAATAAATTAAAATTCTAATAGAAACATAAAAAGACTAATAAATTTATTTTAAGACATAGAAAACAAAGTAGGTACTATTAGAATAAAAAAACCCAAAAAAATCAGAGAGCTCATTAAAAAAAATTTTTAAATCAACAAAACAACATTAGCCTTCAATAAACTCTAACTCTGTCATAGATACCTCATTCGAAATATGATAACCAATTGAACGTGTAGGAAAATGAGCAACCCGCGAAACCCAAAATCACAACAATAATTTAATAATCTGTGATAATGAAAAAAAAAAACAAAAAAACTTTGCACAAAAACCATTAAAAATGTCACATGCATAAAAGTAAACATGTAGTGAAGGATATAAAAAAATTCTCTGAATAATAATAAAAGATGAAAATTGTGCATGTGAAAGTTAAAACAAAGCCGAGTAATGAATGCAAGATAATATAACATAAAAATTCCTTGTTAGCAGTGATAATATGAAAATCAGCAGATAAATAATATATTAATAAATACTGTAATAAGACTAACTAAATATTGTAATAAAACCAGATAAATTTAAGCCAAATGAGTGGTTAAAAATTTGTTTTGGGTGATATAACAATGATATAAGTCTTGACATAAAAACGATGTACGAAGCAGTAAAAAATATTGTTAATAAATAAAGTTTTCACTACAGTCTGAATTAAAAGTAACTTTGAGATCATATCTAAATGGAAATTTCCAAAAAGTAAAGTTTTCTCTATGGTCCTAATTAAACGTAATTTTGAGACAATAACAAAATAACAAGGAAAAAACTTACATCAACAAAACATGTCGAACGCTGCTAGTTGATAAGAATTGCTCTTATATATATTTTAAGGCTCGAAGGGCTTGAAGAATAAAAAAGTGTTTTAATAATAGCAATTTTAAATAAAATCAATATGTTTTTTAAAAGCGCAAACAGGCAATTAATAAATTTTAATTTTTTTGTTTTTTAATTTTATTTGAATTTTCATGCTATATTTTTCTATACAAAGTTTTTATATCTGAAGATAATGTTGGCTTAGCAGAGGAACAGCCACATATCGTCATTAAGACTAATCCAAAAGTAGCATCCGTTACTGACAACATTTTTGTGTACCGAAGTACTACTGCTGTAGCTGCTGTACCGAAGTACTACTGCTGAAGCGCTGAGTTGGCGGTGGCAGGATTTGAACTCGTATCTTACAACTGTCCGGGTTTTAACTTTTTGTTCAACGCTCTAACCAAATGAGCTATCCAGCCACACATTTAAACTATTTAAAAATAATTCATTTCATTGCAATGACTATGCAAATGGTGGAAAAACCCAAGCGTTGTTAAAGCAGAAATATTACTGGTTTCTATCAATAAATTATTAACTTTTAATTATTGTATTATATTGATATAAATTACCAATAAGTTTTTATTTTTAATTTTTTGAAATATATGTATAAAAAATAAATTAATTTGAACGTTTTGAAAACTAAGATAAAAACCAGGCAGTATTTGAAATAAAAGAATTAAAGAAAAAATTTGCTTTAACTTCTATTCGCTTTCAAACTTTTCGCTTTAACGACCCGCTAGCAATTAAAGTAGCATTATTTCATTAACAAGAAAACTATTTTAAACCTTTTTTCGAAATTCAAATAGTTTATCAAAATTTTATTATAGGCATTTTCCAAACAACATCCTGATTTTTTATAAACCTTGTTTAAAATCTCTAATTTTTTTTAACCGGTCAACCATGACCGCTTAGAATTTATTTTAGAAGGTCAAAATAGCGTTTAAAGTCATTTCAGGCAGTCATTGACCGTTGAACGGCTGTTATTTTCCGTGCTGATATATATATATATATATATATATATATATATATATATATATATATATATATATATATATATATGAATCCTAAAATGACACATGATAACCACATATACATATGATAACCACATATATCTACATTTCAACCACATACTATCTATTAAAAGAAAATATTATCTGGTAAAGATGGTGTTAAAAAAGATGAGTTAAAATAAAGATAGTTTATCTATAAAAGAACCAAATGCTTGCAAAGCGATGTAAACAGGCTTTATGTGAATTAGGGTTTATAGGTGTAATGTGTAAGTCTGTGCTGTTTATGTTGTTCAGTAAAGTCTTGTGTTGTTAGTAACCAGCGTAAAATATTTATCTCTGAACTACTAAGAGCCAGCACAGCCATACTCCAGAAAACCATGATGGATTAAACACTTATGCATGGATTTATAACTGACTTATGACCAAAAAGCTAGCCCAGGCTTTTTCCAGATGCAAACATCTTCTTTCGTGGTGACAGTAACTGTGATATAAAAAATAGTTGTGCTCGATGACCGTAACACTAAACCTTACAAGCTAGGCCCAATATTATCTTAAAACTTTGGCATATAAAATTGGCCAAATGGTCACACACGAGCAGTGAACACTTGAGGGCAAAAATGAAGTTCATTAGAATACAGCAGGAACATATGGCTATAATTTCTGACATTTGTAAGCAGAAGATGTTAAATGAATTATGGCTAGAATCCCTGACTATTGTGAACAGAAAATGGTAAACTTATGGTTACAATCATAAGCACAAAAGAACTATTAAATATTATTATTATATATAGACCTATACATATGACTACATTATATATAGATCCTATATATAGGTCCAGACTATTATGAGCACAAAATGTTAAACTGTTTTTTGCATTCATCTAAGATTTTATATTAATTTTATCAAGCAATCAAGCCTTGTTAGATATCATTCTTTAGTAGACCAACAGCTCATTAAAAATACTTAACAGGTTTATGATCCACCATATTGAGATAAAACGGAATAACAATAGCTGAATTCTATGAGGATTATTAGGAAACTAGCTGAGATCGAACCCGTAAAATTATGGGTCTTTGTAAGTTTTTTCCACTTGGATGAGACAAAATATTTTGTGTTTTTTCAATCTTGTAATTTTTTAAAAATATAATAACATACATAGGAAAAATAATAAAAAACAGCTTGAGCAAAAAAAAAGACTTGTAATTATTAGAAAAGTTTAGTTACATTACATGCGATCCTAAATACAACGTTATATAAGTGGATTTTTTACATTTTATAAACAATATATATAAATAAATTTTTTTTCTGGTGTTTTGATGTTTTTAGAATTTTGAGCTTTTTTAAAAACATTTTTGTTTGTTAAAGTGTATAATATCATTACATATGTTTGTATATAATCTTTATAAAACTTCAAAGGTATATTGTATTTTAAAAAATCTAAAAAAATTAAAAAAAGTCGCCAGTGGTAGGACTTGAACCACGCTTTTGTGTTCAGAAGTTCTGCGTGCTGACCACTCGGCCATGCTGGCACGCTGACTTACAAAAATTATTAAAACATATAATGATTTTTTTTAACATAATTGCTATAGATCAAAATTAAGGAGAGCTTGACACAATGCAATTTTCAAGTGAAAGTCAAACTATAAAACTTGATAAATGTTTGAGTATGTTTTAACATTTTTTAACTTAAAGTGTACATTAGATATTCTCATACACTTTCATTCACGTTTTCTTACAACAAAATGTACTGCCACTCTTTCTCGCCATTACCTTGGTTGCAATGGCTGCCAAGGATTTCAAGTCATATACGCTCGAATAGGTACTACTTACACTAACAGGATTAAGTTTGGCAATAATATATAGAGATTAAATAAATGATACAACAAACATAATATAATATATATAAAAAAATAACAATAAATTTAGAATGTATTAAAACTGAAAACTGTGAAAGACAAACTGTAAACCATTGGTAAAAACAGAATGCAAAGAAAGCAGATAGTACTGACTTTTGACCAAGAATATTGAAGTTAGTCACAATCAGCTAAATCTTTATTTAAGAAAACCTGTTTGAAAGGGAATTTAAAAAACAAACTACAGTTTCATCTTTGTTTCATGTTTGTTTTTAGAGTTTTTAGAGTCTTTTTTTTCAGAGTAGCACTTTTATGTAACACGCAGAAAAATGAAGTTTCTTTATGTGTCTTCTTCAGTAATTTATCTTGCAATTTTTTTAACTCCATTCCAACCTCCTTTAATTGTTCCCAACCTCTATTATTTTATCAGTAAAATTTATTAAATCAAAATAACAAAAGTCCTAATAATTGAGGTAATTAAAGCCATTTGCTTAAAGTGAGCATACTTTAGTGAAGATATCAGGCACTATAAGGTTGAATATTTAAACAATATTAACAAAAAAAGGTAAAAAAGAAAATTAAAATTATGGAGAACCAGTTTATTTTTATTTAATTCATTCATTTTAAATAAAGAAACAAAATAAATTACTTTTCTATATTCTTTTACTCTTCCTTGATCTTGATAAGTCTTTAAAACATGATTAACTGAGTCAAGAAGCTCCTTTATTGCACTAGCAATATCCCTATTTTAATTGCAATTGATTTAATTGTTTCTTAAAGAACTTCTTTTAATTTATTACAAAATAATATATATATATATATATATATATATATATATATATATATATATATATATATATATATATATATATATATATATATATATATATATATATATATATATATATATATATATATATATATATATATATATATAGACACAAACACATAATATAATACAAAATTAATAGATGAAAATATATTTATTAATATTTCTTATTTAATTAAATAATAATATGATAAACCAATACCGGTTTACAAAAAAATCATTACTAGTAAAATCCGAAAAAATTATTATTAAAAATAATAAAAAACTACAACCATCCATCCAATAAAAAACTACACTTATTGATAAAAACTCACCGTGGAGTTATTTTATACGAGTAGAAAATAAAAGTGCAGGTCAATTCAAAAAACGTTCAAAAACAGTTCAAATTTCTGGCATCAGTACATATTGTATGCACGCACACCCTTAAACACTGCACTAAACTAATCTTCTTAAAAAAAAAGTAGATGAAAAACAAAACTTTACAAATCCATAAGATGAGAATAGGGTAAAAAATTCTTTAAAAATATTATTGTTATACTTAATATTATTGTTAAGGCAACTAATATAAGTAAATTCTTTGAGTTATAGGTCTGAGCCATTCCTAAAGTTTCATTCTTTGGGCAATTAGTCTGAAACCCTCCTAAATGAGTTGTAACTGTTAACTTACAACATTTACTAACTTATTTTTTTTAACTTTATTAAACTTATCTTTTATCATTAATTTAATTAAACTATTTAAATTAGAGTTAAATAATAAGTCTTAATATATCAAAGGATTTTACTGATCAGTTTATAAAATTAATGAACGGTTTAATATATCAAAGGATTTTACTGATCAGTTTATAAAATTAATGAACGGTTTAATATATCAAAGGATTTTACTGATCAGTTTATAAAATTAATGAACGATTTAATATATCAAAGGATTTTACTGATCAGTTTATAAAATTAATGAACGGTTTAATATATCAAAGGATTTTACTGACCAGTTTATAAAATTAATGAACGGTTTAATATATCAAAGGATTTTACTAATCAGTTTATAAAATTAATGAACGGTTTAATTTATCAAAGGATTTTACTGATCAGTTTATAAAATTAATGAACGGTTTATAAAATTGTTAAACGGTTGATAAATAACAGTTTATAAATAAATAATTATAAATAATTATAAATAATAATTTATTGATTTCGTAATAATTTTTAACTTTAGGTGCACCAAGAAGTCCTTATGGTTTTATCACTGAGTGCCATGGAAGAGCATTTGAAAGGAAGTTCATGCCTCCTTTCTTAATGATGTTATAAAACTTGCCCAGAGGTGGCGTTGCACCACAAATCTCTAGGTTTCTGAGGCAAGCGCCTCAGAAACCTAGAGATTTGTGAGATTTGCACTGTGTTACGGCTACTCAAACATCTTGAATTTTTTTTTTTAAATAAATTCAAATTATTATTATTTTTAAAAAACAAATAAAAACCTTATTTGAAAAATCATTACGAAAATTCATAATTAAACACAAACTATGCTATGTTAGTAATTTATGGAGCTAGAAAATAGAATGGGGAGCATAAAATTGCATGACAAAGAGGCAAACTAAGCAGAGGCTAACTTTACAATGAATTGTATGCAAATGGATTTTCCATGAGGTCAAAAGAGGATGATCCAAGAATATGTTAAGTGAATTTTTTGAGGAGATATTTTTTTATTTTTAAGTATTTAGATTTTTTAAACATGTTATATATAACATAATAAACTGATTCTTGCATTCAAGACTGTTAAAACATTATTTTTTTTAAACTTCAAACTGAAAGGCTCAACCACTTTTAGTTAGAAGTTTACTGGAAAAGAAATGATAAAGCCAGATAACAATAAACAGACATAAATATTATAAAGCAGAAAAACAAGACAAAGGAAGCGAGCTCCAAGAGCTGATGTTTGCCAATAAAAACTAAACAAAAAAAAATTTTCGGATCACTTAGAGACAGTCACTGTGAATAGATGATACTTTTCAATGATGAGTAACATGCAAATAAATTTTGGTAGATGGCACAAGAGGCACTAGTTTTTTAGAGCTATGACATTTTGGTAATTCTTTTCATGTTAAACTTGTTTCCAGAAGGGTTTAATATGTAGCACTTGTTCTTTTTTAATAAAAAATATACTTGATTGTTTGGAGAAACTTTGATCTATCTTGAATTTCTTCAGGTATCTTTCCAAGTATTGCTTTTAGTTCTGAAATAAGAAGCAATGTTTAAAAATTAAAAAAAAAAGTCTATAAGCAATATTTCATTGATTATTTAATTCTGTTTATTTATAATTAAAAACTAACCGTTTGCTTTATGCTCCAATTTTTTGAATTCTGGTTCCTGCCGCTCAATTTGAAAATCTGAAAATAGTTAATTATAATGTAAAATTATTAATTATCAATAAAAAAATATGAAAATATATATATATATATATATATATATATATATATATATATATATATATATATATATATATATATATATATATATATATATATCCTTATAGTGTAGTCGAAAAGTCTTTTAATGTAAAAAAAGTCTCTTTCGACTGCAATTTTAATTACCTTGTCTCTTAAGCTGTTTTTGATTGTCGTCGAAATGTCAAAGCAATTAAATTAATGCGGAAGTACATTAAATTTTATTGTTTTTTAAAAAAATTTTAAAAAACAATAAAATTTATATATATATATATATATATATATATATATATATATATATATATATATATGAGTTGTTGAAAAAAAAACATCTTTTATAACGATTTAAAAACATTATCTTTTATAGCGATTTAACAACAACTGACAGTTTTGATATGGGATTTTTATCAGTCCATATAATTAAAAAAACTAATTTGCTATGTACGCTAGTACTATATGAAATTTTGTTAATTTTTTTTCCTTAACTTTATTAGGTTTACTCATTTTTACATCTTTTTGCTTATAAAAATGTTTTTGGTATATTTGACATTTTTTCTCAATACTTATATAATGGGAAAAAAAAATTGTGATTCATTTGTAAAAAATTATTTAATTTATAAATTTTGTAATGACAGAATAAGTTAAATAAAAGAATAACATAGTTTCTTTAATAAATGTATTTGATGCAATTGATGCATGCGTGAAATTGTTTCTTTTATATTGCCCAATTTCTAATGTTAATACAAATTACTAGAGGTAGTGAACATAACGATTGCTCTGTTTAAAAAAATGTATTTAAAAGCTTAAACAAAAGTTTTAAATAGGCTCCTAAAAATTTTGTTAAAAAGTTCAGTAAATTAACAATTGAACTTATTCTGCACTAGCCCACAAGATTGGAGCATTGTTTTGGTCATAAATCTGGGTCAAATATTTTAATGGAGTAAAACCATTGCTTTATAAAGCATTATTTAGATGACATTTTTGCTGGGTTCCCTTCAGAAAACCACACATTTTTATTCTTGGAATACATTAACAAAAAATAATTTTTGATATATTTTACAGAGGAAAAGGAAGAAAAATCAAATTTTTTTGAACAATTTTGAACAATTATAAAAGTTTTAACGATAAAAACCTTTACTAGATTATAACTAGATAGAACTAACCTTTATAGCTTCACTTCATTTTCATATGTTTTATTAGCATATATTTTTTTTAAAGCTCAATAAATCAAGTTAACATTCTATGATGTTCTTGCTTTGTTACCAAGTTGTCAATGCTGTATTCTTTTATTTTCAACTAAACTTGTATTAATTTTGACAATTTTTGTTATCTAGAAGGGCTTTTTCTTTAAGTACCTTGTTTTACCCCAGTTTCCTCTAATTTTTTGTTTTTATCTCTTAAGCTAATAGCGCAAAAACTTATTAAGCCAAGAACTTGATAAGGCAGAAACTAACATGCTTTGCTGATGAAATCATAACTATTTAATTTAAATACTCCAAACAAAGATTCGTTAATATTAAAGATTCCTCAGCATCAAAAAAGCTCAGATTCTGAAAAATTTCATTACATTTGGATTATTGTAACTACAGATTTTATGGTTATAATTGTTTCAGTTGCAGTGTAAACCAGCCTTAAAATTGGTATTTTAAAACTGATTATCTTGTGAACGATTTTGAACTGCGTGTCCACATTTTTTTATAACATTTTTTATAGTTTCAAATGCGCAAAAACTTCAATAAATTATTATGACTTAAAAAGTTTGAAAAATTTGCAGAATTGACACATCTCTCACTCAACTTGCTACTTTTAAATAACTACAACAAGCAGGAAATAATCAGTAACATAGATACCTTCATTATCAGCATATGAGCATCTCAGCAACACCTCATTAATGTTCATTGAACAACCATCTAAAATATTTGCAATATTGTAAAAACAAATTATATGCATAAATATAGTATACTAAGTAATGTACAAAATTAATAAATTTGAACTAAAACTAATTAAGGATGAAATTGATTGCTATGTTAGCCACTAATAGAAAACTAAAAGAAAAGCCAATAGAAAATGTTCTTAAGGATTAAGCCAAATAAAAACTTTTCTAGTAAAAAATGCCACTCAAACAGGAAACAGTACTTAGAACCACTACTTAAATAAAAAATCTAGCATCGAATAAAAAAAAATTAACAAACAGTTACCAAATAACTATTTTTCAAATAGAAAATGATGATATCTAAAAAAATGCAAGTTTCTTTTTTTTTTAATCAAGCCTCTGTGGCTTTGCTACATGACCTGTATACGCAACAAGAGGCAAATTAAGAGATTGCTAATTACAACATCTGGAAACACTTCATGTCTTAAAATTTTCAGTTTTTTAAAAACTTTTTATCACAAAACTAAATAGCTGTTATTTAACAAAAAATATTTGTGCATTGGTCTCGAAGATAAATAATCTTATAAAACCATATTACTGGTATTATTATTATTAATTATAATTTAAACTTCAATATCTTAATTTATTTGACAAATTATCAGATAAAACCAATGAAATATTAAAAATAAAACGACTGCAAATCACAATAGTGTTATGGAATTTAGTGTGATCAAATATTTTTAAATTAAAAAAATTGGAATTTTTACTTTAAATCTTATATAACAATTTCTTACAAATCAACTAAATGCTTGTATCAAATCAACTCTCTCACTTGTTTCAAATCAACTCTCTCACTTGTAACTCGCACAGATTTTTATTTTACAAAATTAAAAGCAGATGTTTAAAAACATACAAAATTAAAAGCAGATGTTTAAAAGCATACAAAATTAAAAGCAGATGTTTAAAAACATACAAAGTTAAAAGCAGATGTTTAAAAACATACAAAATTAAAAGCAGATGTTTAAAAACATACAAAATTAAAAGCAGATGTTTAAAAACATACAAAATTAAAAGCAGATGTTTAAAAACATACAAAATTAAAAGCAGATGTTTAAAAACGTACAAAATTAAAAGCAGATGTTTAAAAACATACAAAATTAAAAGCAGATGTTTAAAAACATACAAAATTAAAAGCAGATGTTTAAAAACATACAAAATTAAAAGCAGATGTTTAAAAACATACAAAATTAAAAGCAGATGTTTAAAAACATACAAAAACTAATTTAAACAACTTGTAGTTACTTTAAAATAAAAATAAAAACACTAATAACATAACAAATTATGTAATTTTTTTTATAATTATTTTTACTATCAATAAATTCATGTCTAATTTAAAACCTTTCAATTTTTAAAAAATTAAATGTTCAAAGTTTAACTAAAATCAAACTTTAATGTTTTCTACAATGGGCAAATAACTTTTGTATAATTTTTCAGACCTTTAGTAATTAATAATCTAACTTTGTTTATTTATTTGAATTAACTGGTGTTTTAACCAGTTAAATTATTTAAAATTTAAATGTTATTATTTTTGCAGTTATAAATTAATTGTTTTATATTTTGTGTGGAATTTTCCAATAAATTGAGTCTTCCATTAAAACCTTATTCACAGTTTTTAATAATAATGTCTCATAACCATCTTTATTCACAGTTTTTAATAATAATGTCTCATAACCATCTTTGTTCACAGTTTTTAATAATAATGTCTCATAACCATCTTTATTCGCAGTTTTTAATAATAATGTCTCATAACCATCTTTATTTACAGTTTTTAATAATAATGTCTCATAACCATCTTTATTCACAGTTTTTAATAATAATGTCTCATAACCATCTTTATTCACAGTTTTTAATAATAATGTCTCATAACCATCTTTGTTCACAGTTTTTAATAATAATGTCTCATAACCATTTTGGATAAATTCAAACAACACCGTTATACATTAAAATCTTAGAAATTTTTAATTCCTTTATTTCAATCCTTGAAAAATTGCAAAAAAATATTCACTTATCCCATACTGACTTCAATAAGTATTTAAAAACATCAAACCCTGAATCTCTTTTCATGAAACCAACTGATAAAAATGAAATATCAGTTATTCTTTCAATAAATGATGCTAAGGCTTCTGGTACAAACAGCATTTCAACTTTTATTCTAAAACTTCTTGTTAATAGTATTTGTTTAATACTTTCTAAACTTCTTAATTCTCTTCTTTGCTACTGGTATATTCCCTAATACTTTGAAAGCTGCTTCTGTTAAACCAATCCATATAGACCTTGTGATCTTTGCAATAACTATAGACCAATATCATTATTTTTAAATATCAGCAAAGTTCTTGAAAAATTAGTACGTTGTCGTATCATACACTTGTGGACAAAATTGTGGACACGCACATGGATTTATTCCAAAATAAATGATTAAGCAAAAAAATACCATTTATTGCACTCAAAAAGGTTATAAAATAAAATTCAAGTACAAAGTTAACAAAAACTGCACCAAAGAATTGCCATTTTCTATGAAATTTATTAAATAGTACAAAACTTTATGGTCAGATCAGCAAATAGCACCATATTAAAAATATTCATACTATCACATTGTTAGTATCAGTTTTTTTAGCACTGACAAGCTTAATAACGTGTGGGATATCCCTTTGAAGCAATAACTGCTTGGCACCTTTTTGACATGGAATCCACAAGTCTTTTTAAATTTTCAGGAGTAATTAGATCATACCAAGAATTAATGATTGCCTCAACAAGTTCCTGCTTGTTACTGGGATGTTTAGCTCTAACTATGGGCTTCAGTCTTGGCCATAGATTCTCGATTGGGTTCAAATCGAGGCTATTTCCAGGCCATGGCAAAACCTCAATATTTGTGAGTTTCAAACCATTTCATACTTGTTCAAGTTGTATGGCATGGTGCTCCATCTTGCTGGAAGATAAAATCAATGCCATTACCAAAAAGTGTGCGAGCAGATGGAAGCAATGAAAGTTCAATAATGTCCTTGATATATTTTGAAGCGTTTACTGTTCCATTAACAACTTTAAATCGTCCAACTCTATTATATGACATACATCCCCATATCATCACTCCCATGAGGTGTTTCATTGCTGGTATCAAGCACTCAGGATAGTAAGCTTTACCTGCTCTTCGGCAAACATAACCAGTGCCGTAATTGCCAAAAATGGAGATGTCTCATCACTCCAGATGACTTTCTTGCACTGATCAACTGTCCATGTAGCATGAACTTTAGCCCATTCCACTCTCCTTTTTCTTTGAATGGCATTGAGCAGTGGCGTTTTCCTTGGAATTCGAGCTTTAAAACCTGCATCCACCAATTGCCAACAAACAGTTTTGTCACTAACAGATATTTGTGCAACTTCAAGAGAGCTGTTAATTTCCTTTGCAATTATTCTTCTATTTTGTAGTGTTTGTCTTGATATCATTCTGTCAGTTGTAGGTGTTGTTGCTTTTTTATTTCCTTTCCATGATTGTTCTCAATGCTGCTAGTCTCTTTGAAATGCTCATACAATTTTCGTATCCCAGAAGCAGTCACACCACTTCCAATTTTGTAAGCAATTGCTCTACAACTATAGCCCTCTTTTCGCAGTGTGATTGCAGTTGCTCTTTTTTTAGGTGACCAATCAGTCCTTTAAACATTTTTCAGTGTTGAAATCTATTACAAATGTGAATATCGCTGTCTTAATTGCTTATATGTTAAAGATTTCATATTAAAAAGGTATTAAAAAGATCTTTTCATAAAATTAAAATAAGAAATTACAGTGTAACAAAAAATTTCAGTAAATGTGAGCAAAAATAAGCTAAATTAATATTGCACTTTTATTCTATAATTTTTTTTATCTCAATACTTAACTAAATTAAATTTATAGCTTTATACTTACTGTAGAGTACAATGGTAGAATGCAATGGAATTTGGCAAGAAATATACCACAGCCAAAGCCATCTGCTTCTTGAACAAAAAATGCTAAATGTGCCCATTTCATTTAAAACACTTCCCATGCACTTATTAACATTACTGAAATGATTTTTAGTTTGATTGATAGTGGTTCTTTTGCTTGTGGCGTCTTTATTGATCTCCAAAATGCATTTGATACAGTTTACCACAAGATTTTAATTGAAAAATTGCATCACTATGGTATACAGGGTATCACTAATAATAGGTTTTTATTGTATATTAAAAATCATACTCAGTTTGTCTAGATTAATGGGTTTTTTTTCCACAAGTAAAGTTATTAGGTAGGGTGTCCCACAAGGATCTGCTCATGGGCCTTTATTATTTTTAATATATAATATATATTAAGGGGTAAACAGATTCTATCTGCTGACCAGCCTGACGTAGATGAATTTACAATACAATTTAGGATGAATCCAGTTTAGGATGTTGAATGCTGGATTTTCTTGACTCAATGCATGGGATTTGCTTGTGTCTCTGTTTTTATGACTAGGTTATTCATTCTGTTATTTCCTAATGAGGGTACAGCTCTAAAACTCAGTTTTATGGTTCTGAGGCAGGCTGGTAGTCAGGTTTCCCAAACTCTGTGGTAGATCTCAGAGAGGTTGATTCCATCAGCAGCTGTAAAATATCAGAGTACTAACAGTGCCATGTTGTGCATGGATGGTGTCCCTGTTCATACATTTGGTATGCATTGTAGTGGCCACATTTGGAGCCCTTTGTTACAGCTTATAGTTTATTAATAGTAATGAAGTAATTGCTTAGATTATTAAATAGTGTACTAAGTAAAATCAGTGCTTTAAGTCAAGTTCTTTAACAAATTTAAAAACAACAAAAGTACCAAAAATAATAAAACATAAAAAACTAGCGCCATCACCAAGTTCTCTAACTCTATCATTTACTAATATTTGTGTAACTCTATCATTTACTAATACTTGTCTTCGAAGTAACTTTTCTTCTGTTGAGTTTTATCTGTTGCAAAGTTCACCAGATCTACTGGCTCTTTGTG